TATATTTTGCTTTTGTCGTAGATCATCAACCACTAGACCACAACTATGTGGACTATATTTTACTTTTGTCGTAGATCTAACTGATATTACCTATCTTGAATTTTTTTTTTAATATTTACATACTTTCTATTAATATAGGCACCACGAGAAAAATATGCTAAGGGAACTTATATTTATTTGGATTCTTGGTATATTTGGTTGGACATACATGCATGTGATCGCAGTTTGCTGATGAAAAAATCCAATAAGAGTCCACAAATTTAACCCTAACAATAGCATGCATGTGGTTTTTCGTTGTGTTTTTGTTTTTTAAATATTATACACAACAACAAAAAAAGGAATTGGTGCCGTATAGTAAGTGGAAAGAAGAAGAATTTTAATCTTTATTGAGCTAAGAAGAATGTTATCACGAAAACAAACAAAAACAAAATTGATGACGAAAAGTCTTATTTTTGGCTCGCTATTTTTTTGGAGATAAGTACAACTTCTACCACTAACCATGTACAGGGGTGGACGCGGAGAGAAATTGGATGGGGCATTTGTCCATCATAAAATTTTTAAAATTAATGTAATTATTTAAGAATTTTTGGTGATATATATCCCTCTTAATATATTATTTTATAGTGTATTGTTTGATAGTTTTTTAGCTTTCCACCAGATTAAAATAATTCTTAGATATGCCAAAATGTAATCTACCTCACTGGTAAGCATCGAATTGATGGATGAGCTCATTTCATCTACCTTAATTAAAATGATTGATCATCGTCCACACAAAAAGAATCTCTAAAGTCTAAATCTTCACAGTACGGGTATCTATTTCTTTGGGTATTTTGACATTTTCTTTTTACAAGTAATATTTTATCTTAGTAGCAGCTTTGAGAGATATATTAGTAATTTGTTGATTCATAAAATATACGGAACTACGATAAACTAAAGTATGTACAATGTTAATCATTACATTTCTGTAAGTTACTATTAAGCCTGGATCTGTAATACAAATCAGTAAGTTACAATTTTGTGGTTAAGATTTTGCTTATTTTATAAACCAGGCTTAATAGTTACTACAAATGACATAATGATATAAGTCAGTAAAAAAAATACACAACGGTATTAAACTTGTTTTCGATTTAAAGGTCATGAGTTCAAGTCTCATTTTAGCAATCTTGTGTTTTCATTTTTTCTTTAAAAAAAAAACAATAAAAATGCGCACAAAATACGCAACGATTAAACTGATAAATGGATAGAAGAAAAAGAATAACACAAGGAACAGGATGGGTAGAGTCCACGTGCATGTCACGCGGGTTGTAGTTGTGGACACACGAGCCTCGTACAGTATAAAGATGGATAATAGAGAGAGTCGCACGATTCGCACGTGGGATGTTGACTTGTCGACTAGCTTAAGGGGTATGTACATAATTAATGATTTATGTACTTTCCAACCAAAACATGCCACGTGGATAGATATACAATTTCTTTGTGGGGTTTAATTACTCTGTCACATCCTCCTTTGCACAAACAACATGATTATTATTGGCCCCATTTCTCTTTTTTTTTTTTTCAAACAAACTTCATTCATTTAAAAGATCAAAATACAAAAAGAGAAAATTAAACATCTTCCAACATTATTACAACATAATTGAAAGTCAATACAACAAAGAGCAAATAGATCATTGTAGAAAATGGACAGCGGATCCAAGACATGCCTCGAATGCATCAAGAGGGTCTTCGCGGCAAAGTTGGAGAGTCTCAAATTGGTCACTTTCCAATGTGACTTTGAAAGTCCCGGCTTAAAGCTCGCAAATTCGACCACTCTCCATCCAAGAGAGGGAAGAAGATACGACCAGTCTCAAAGAGATGGAAGAAGGTGGAACTGAACTCTTCCACCGAGAGTAAATTACAGGATTTGAGAATCCAGAAAATTTTCCTAACAGAGTAGATATCGAGCTCACAAATTACAAGATCTGAGAATTCAGAAAACTTTAATCCTCTCACAATAGAGAGGGTATATGACTCAGAAGAATTTCATGCTAAATCCAGCTTTATTGTCATAACCCCAATAAACATACTAGAGTAATAAAAATGTGACCTGAGCTTGGACTTCACGAGGATTGAGATTGAAGTTGGAATTGATCTTCGGGTAAATTCAACGACCACTTTGGATGGAGGGACATGGGCTTTTTGTCCATTCTTCTTCATTGCCCAATGCAATCCCATAGAGAGGCCCACGACACCGAAGGAATTTTTACAGCCCACCCCAAAGGAATTTTTAAGGCCCAAAACACAAATGTTGGAGTCGACAAGGGAAAGACCGTCAGAGGTTACTCCAGCCAGCTGGACGGTTCCTAACAACGGAAGAACACCTCCTTCAGAGGAGGAACAAACTTTGCCTGGATCTATCATTGCGGATGAATTGCCTGAGTTTTGAAAGGTGAGTTGAGACTTCAACCATACAACCATATAGATCTGGAAATTGCACTCGGGGAGAGGAAGAGACGTCGCGAAAGCCGGGACAGAGGCTCGAACGAGAGGGGATGGAAAATCTGGAAGGAGAGAGTCGGGAGGGACCGTAGGTTCAGGGAAAGGAGAAGACACCGTGACAGAGGCTCGATCTTGAGGAAAGCCGAGCGGCAATAGTTCGGGAGGAAGAGGGATGAGCCACCTCTCAATCATACATGGTAGCAGAACCGGAGCCATGGAAGACACCGACGACGACGGTGGAGCCAAAACCCTAATCGCCTCGAGAGCGCTCCTCACAATAATATATATACATTGGCCCCATTTCATTTTCACATAATGATATATACCTCAATGGTTTACTTAAGCTATCCTTAAAATGTGTTTATCTCTTCTTTTCTCCTGAAACTGAGCTCATCTTTTCGCAAACAAGATTTTTCAATTAATTTATTAAAAATAAACCTTTTTTCAAATGTTTATACATATGCAGCCCTTATGTCTTTTTGGATGAAAATATCATATATGTACTGTGTACAGACTAGAAATATATACTCTTTTTGTTTTTTTTTAAATCGTTTAGAGTTTTAAAATTTTAACAAGACTATAGTTTTATAATTTTAATAGTTCATGGTTTATCGTAATTTTCCAATCAATAAAAAATAACTAAATTTCGAGGTTGATTCATTAATATAATTTTCTTACAAGCACACTAAACAGTTATATATATTGATTTTAATAGTTTTGTCAATCCGTGCGACATAATAATGTTACATTTCTCAAAAAAAAAA